TACTACTACTACTACTACTACTACTACTACTACTACTACTACTACTACTACTAATAACAACGAGGTGCTAAAATATGGTAAACACCTCATCGGCCTAGCGAACCGTAGCCTATAAATGGTGCTCACGTGTTCTTAGTATTATTGTAAAGCGCATATATGTGGGCATTTATTTTAAAAAAGAGGATAGACTCTACATGTAATAAGTAATAATACGCACGATAAAAATGAAATGTATTGTTCTTATTAAATCTGAGGAGGTTAAGGGCCACTCTGTCTGTCTGCATTAAATAGGAGAAATAATACAATTCTCTTCAATAAGTATGAAAAGTACTGAATTAGTGTAGATCTCTAGTGCAATATAATATGATTGATTATTATTAATAAAAAGAATCGTGTGCTTTTCGAGAGTTTATTCATTAGGGACAGGGTAATTATTGATTGAAGAAAATAAATAATAAAGAAAACAAGCTTTTACAGAGTTTTAACGATTAGGGAACACATACTACTTTTACATTTAAATAAAACATTTTCAGTCAACAAATTTTAAACGTTTTATGAATTTTGTAATCTTTCGATGTCTTTTTGAGAGAAAAAAAAATTAAGACAAGCCACTAGCCACAGAATGCTGCACATAATTATGTGTAGAATTCTGTTGGATAAGCGGATTTGCTGAGCTCTGCACTGAACGGAGCCATACAAACATTTTTATTTTAAAAAAGATAGTGTCTGACTCCTCAGCCTTTTTACTTTAAAAAATTGTACGGTCAGATCAAGAATTAATAGCTGTCGAATAACAACATAAATATTTTTTTTTTAATGATTATTTTTACATGCTTTGGTCGAATCGCCTTCAAATTGCAGAACGATCGCGGAGGCCTATTTATTGGCTCATTCGAAGCGGTCTAAAAAATAACAACCGGAAACAGATACGAAAAAGATAATTTCAAAACAAGGACAAGACAGACAAGAAATAGAATGCTCAGTAGTCCTATTGTGGTGTGTGCATGACAGTGACAGGTTCCGGGGGCTGACGAGGCTGAGTCGAGGATTGAAAGACAAGCAGAAAGTTCCTCAACTTGTTAGAGCCAGTTCAGCAGTAAGAGAATACTGTTTTAATCTTACTAATTGGAGAAACACTTGCTTTTATATTCTTGAAATGTGGTTGTGGATGGAACGATGGTATTATATTAGGTCTACTGATGATGATAGTTAATCTACAGAGAAGCAGAAGGGGTGATCTTAATACTTTAGCACGTTAAATTCTTCAAATGAGCGACCACTATTAGATCTGGATCTAAATTCTATAGTCATCAAGATTATACTCAATGGCTTCCAAAATCATGATGGAAGACCAAAAACACTGTTATACGATCTGTTCATGACAAAATTACGGTAGTTTGCGCATTTTTTAGGCCCAGTTCAAAGTTTTGAAGGTCTGAGTCGGGGATAAGAATTAGAAGACTGGGAATTTAACATGCTAAAATATAAGATCACCGCAGAAGGAACATCGTCTGTCTCAGTCACACCCCACCTGACATTGTTCTCTCTCATGGAAGACTATCTAGAATCTAGATCTAGATTAGCCTAGTCTCATCACCATTGGCACCATCATGGCATACTCACCTCACTTCATCACAAACATCATGCAACAGCCAAAAAACTAATAAGTAAGAACGGCTGACTAAATACTAGTTCTATATCTAGATCTATACTCTAGATCTAGTCTAGTGGCCGTTTGTAGAGGTGGCCGTCAGGGCAGGTTTGACTGTAGTCTTTGGTAAACACCTCTAATCGTCTGGCGCTCATATGAGTAATATGACTTTATGCAGTTGTGAGAGCCGAAAAACCTCTACTAAAAAAAACTACACGAAGTCGTCAGGCCTGGCCTTCAATTTTGTTGAATCCAGGTGTTCGTAATATTTTTGTGTTGATAATTATAGTATAGGCACAGAGCAAGTAATGCGTAAAATGTATTCGACTTTCTCGATCAAAAGTAGTTTGGTTTCAAATGAGAGGCATTTTCGTGTCTACGTACACGGTAACCGGGCGCGTAGCCTCAGAGTCTACGTACCGGGCACATAGTCTCAGGGTCTACATACACGGTAACCGGAAGGTTCAAGAGATAGATCACTCAGCCCACAGAATTCTACACTTACTTAAGTTAGAATTCTGTGACTCAGCCAAAAAGAGTGTCACTGTTTATTGTTTTTCACTCAAGAAGTAGGGTAGATTCTAACTCTGTTCGCAAAGTTCGCGCTTTTTCGAAGAGGGCGCATGAGGGTCATCCGCTCTATAGTCCAGCATGATACCCACTAAATTTCGTAACAGAGCGTCCAGTAAGCCTTTACTTTCGCTTTCGTTACCACCCAGAAATTTGTCAGTAATTGTCTGATAACGCAACAATTATTGTAACATGCAGGTTCGGCATTACAAACGTGGTGTCGCCATGAAAGTAAATTAAAATATTTGTCACTGTGTCGTCACTTATAGGGGCAACATGAAGAAAAGAAAGTTATACAAGCGTCTTGTTGGGCTCGTCATTGTGGCCGGTCAATGAACCTGCGCGCGTTCTGAGCGCTGCGAAGTACAGGACTCAGGAATGGGGTTAGGGGAAGATTATTGATTTTTTTTTAAAAGACGCACTCGGGGATAGGGGGAGGGCTGGCCGCAACACCAGTGGACAAAAAAAACCTGAAACTGGAAGCAAATACGTTTAATGTTTAGAATTTTGATAACTACTACATCTCTCTGCTAAGTAAAGTGTGCGTGGGTGCAGGCCTTGTGTGAAAACGGCCTAAGTGTTCCTGTGCTTTCACTTGCGGAAAAAAAAGAAAGTTATACGAGCGTCTTGTCGGGCTCGACATCGTAACCAGTCAGTGAACCTGTACTTTCGCATCACAGTGTGAGTACCAGTGATCGCATGGGGTCACCAAAGTTCATTCAACATGTGCGCTGCGCGAAGTATAGAGGGCTCTGGAATAGGGGGATTATTGATTTTTTAAAAAGGTACAGTCAGGGGTAGGGGTGGGGTTGAAGGCAACATCAGATGACAAAAACTGAACTTGGAAGCAAATTTTAGGATTTAGAATTTTGATGTATTACTAGAGCTTCCTGCTACGGAAAAGCGTGCATTGGTGCGAGCCCTGTACGGAATTGGGATCCGTCATACTCATACCTAGTAAGCCGCGTTTTTTTAACCAAAAGGTCCGCGTTTCATTGGATGGGTGATAGTCAAGGATCCCCTTGTTTCATTGTCCTTTGTTTTAAGAGAGGTATGACCATATATCAAGAGCATACTTTTAAAATTCTCTCTCTCTCTCTCTCTCTCTCTCTCTCTCTCTCTCTCTCTCTCTCTCTTCCTTCCTCTCCCTCTCTCTGTTTTCTGAGTCTCTTTTCTCTCTCTCTCTCTCGTGACAGTATTACATGTTTTGTAAACATCTATATTTTAGCTTTCTGTTCCAGATTCACAGATTTTCAGTGTCACTTCATTTTACTCTTCCTAGGAAAGATGACAGGGGGTAGATTGTGGTCATTTTTGGATTTACATTCCGCTCACAACACACAAAAAGCGGAGGAAAAAAGGTAAAAGGTCAAGGTCATGAAGGGAGCGACGCAGTTACCGTGCACCTAGCTCAAGCCCCCCCCCCGAAACAAAACACCCGGTTACCGTGTTCATAGATAATGATAGGCGCCCAGTAGCCGGTTACCGTGTACGTAGATATTGAGGCTACGTGCCCGGTTACCGTGTATGTGACATTTGAGACCACGCCCGGTTGCCGCTTACCGTGTACGTAGATATTGAGGCTACGGGTACGGTTACCGTGTGTGTGACATTGAGACTACACGGTGAAAAAGGAAAAAAGTCAACGTCATGAAGGGAGCGAAGCAGTTACCGTGCGTGCACCTAGCTCATGCCCCTTCCGCACCCTCACCCCCTGAAACTAAGTACATGGATACCGTGTACGTAGATATTGAGGCTACGCGCACGGTTACCGTGTATGCGACATTGAGACTACATGGTGAAAAAGGAAAAATTAATGTCCCCCCCCCCCACCCCCACTAAAGTAAATACCCGCTTACCGTGTTCGTAGATAATGAGAGGCGCCCGGTTGCAGCTTACCGTGTTCGTAGATAATGAGAGGCGCCCGGTTGCAGGTTACCGTGTATGTAGATATTGAGGCTACGCGCCCGGTTACCGTGTACGTGACATTGAGACTACACACCCGGTTGCCGGTTACCGTGTACATAGACACTGAGGCTACCGTACGTGCCCGGTTACCATGTACGTAGACACTCCGTTCTTTGTTTGTTTATGTTAAGAATAGGGTTTTACGGCGCTCGCAACGGCATAAGGTCATATGAGCTTCTTTGATACAGAAGAAATGCTTGGAAATTCTAGGAAAATACATTGAATTCTACCAAGCACACACTGTACAAAAGGGGTGATTTGTTGAAATGCATTTAACTGTGTTATCTGTCATCTATAACATATTGTTTGCCGAACTAGTTACAATGTTGCTATGTAGAACCTAGCGTATGGCAACATTTAGTGATTCCACAATCCAGCACTCAGTTCATAACGTAGGTCAATGCCAAAACTAGTTAATTGTTGTAATACTGATCAGTAGCCGGAGAAAAAAATAAGTGAACGCGTTTGTAACTCTACTGAACTTCCACTCCTGGGCTGCTTGTGCTCCCTCCCCCAATACCTCAGACACACGCCTGCACAGTCACAGGTGTGCTGGCGGCCCGTCCGACCGCGACATGCGCTAAGACATACATGTGTACGAGTGCTAATAATGCATGTTTTTGGTATGAAAGTGTACCTAATTGGTCGCATTAGGCAGTTCATCCTGAAAGCAATTTTGTTGAATCCACGCTTGCTCAATTATACTGTCTAACTGTGTTTGTTGAATCTGAGTTATTTCTATTGCCTTTTTTAATCGAAAAAATGGGGAATCCAACTCTGTTGTGGTTGGCTAATAATGGCCTAAATGCCTCACTAATCACCTAATGTATGGATAAAATTTGGCTTTGTGGGGAAAATTTCACAATAATGAACCACTCTGTTGATAGAAATACCATTCATTTGCCATCCTATTCAGTAAGTGATGAGTAGATTGAAGTTGAAGAATGATACTTTTCATGTCAAGTAATAGGGAGCCTATTATTGGACATTTCCAGTCAGTGTGAATTGTTCTTGATTTGAATGAATTGGCTGAGATTGGCCTGTTTGCCTTGCTTGTGCTGTGAACACTACATACTAAGTCTGTCAAACCTGCCATGACAGCCACCTTTACAAACGGCCACTGTCCATTTCCCCCATTGCGTTTTTTCTATATAATTTAACTGTGTAAAACGGGCACCTGTCCAACGCGGCTGTGGCCACCATATTTTAGCACACAACCCCTATCACACCAAACAATCTGTCTGAGACGGCCACCTCAGTGACTCCATTGCGTTTGTCATAAATCATGCATTGGTCCCTGGCGTTATGGGCGAGCAGTCATTTTTAATCCATTCCCCTGTCATTAGTGTTAAGGTAGTCCCTCCAACCGATCATGTTGCGTAGGCCCCTCCCACCAGTAGGTAACACATTTTCAGCTGCAAGTGAGGGAAGCGTATGATCCCTCATAACCGAGATGTGTTATCAGCTTGTCTCGCTCATAACCCATAAGCTCCACCCAGAACACATACACAAATCGTAAGTGAGATGAGGGGTCACTGTTTACCCAGTCTGTAACAAAGTAACAATGGACGTCAACATGAACTTGTGACAGAACCGTCGCTCGTTCTCCGAGTGGTGGCGACCCATGTGTTTGTTTTATCGTAGCACTCGGCCCTCCTTGTCTGACACATTTAGTTTTTTTGTCACCCATGCACAAAAGGAGCATCAAAATAAAAAAAAGAAAAGAAAACGAAGCGAAAACAACAACAACAACAAGGCGGCTACCTTCGGTTGGGACCTCAGAAAGGAATGGTTTGCTTTCTTCATCTTGATCAGTCCTGCCTAAGACGGCCACCTGTGTTATACGGCCACTTTTCCTCTTGACAATGTGTGGCCGTCTTACACTGGTTCGACTGTGCCATACTACATAGAAATGCTGATTGAGTCCAAAATGTGTATTTTAATCTGTGCGGAGGATATATGAATTATGAATACATGATCGTTGACTAGTGTTACTATTGCATTATTTTGATTTTTTATATTCCAACAAAATATTATTATTCTTAGCCTTGTCCACTTTTAACACTTCAATACATAACATAATAATTTACAAAGTAGTTTCTGTTGCATCAAACCTTTCTGAAAGGAATGGTAACCAGTATGGTGGGTCAATCAAAATGTGGGCTCAGAAAGAAATCAGGGTAGGTGGTTGTGTTCAAAGGTAAGATTTCCTTGGGTCAGAGAGGAATGCCTATGTGTGAATATATGTATATTTTTTTGTATGGTTTGTATGTGTGTGCATCAGCAAGCAAGATATTCCTAACGAGGCTCCAGTGAGTGTGTTGGTTAATTGGTCTGTGAGGAAAGTGTTTCATGAACTTTCACCTCATTATCAGGACTTGCAGAGCATTATAACATATAAAGCCATCTCTACTGCTACTACAGTTTTTTGGGTTCTATTAAAAAAATTGTTTACCTTTTCACAAGAAGAGTTTCATTTTGTAGAGAGAGGACCGTGGGAATCAGAGGTAGGAGATTCAAAAGCTGTCTTAACAGTTTCAGCTGATGGTTCTTTAACCCTCTTCGCACGTCGTGTTTTACTATCTTATCCATACGATGCGGGGACCTCTGTGCCCCCTCTTTCCAAAGAGGAAATTTACTCGTTAATTCGATCCGTATGCTTTACACAGTAGTCTGTCAAAATGATTTTTTGAGAAATACTGAAAGTTTCAAAGAGATCTTCGCACTAGAAGTATTATAAAATTTGAAGAATACAACCCTGGGGGTACAAAAGGACCCCAAGGTACGGACAGTGTTCATGGAGAGATTTTTCTCTTGATAGACGACTCTTGTGCTCTTGATGATGATATCATATATCAATAATTGTTCTGTTTTTCCCTTACAGCTTGCTAATAGTTGAAGTTATGTGAATTGAAGAAATTCTGCCTCCAAGATGTCTTTGTACCCTGAATTAAAAGGTCTCTATCACCTCAGAGAAACCATTGGCTCAGGTAAGTAACTTTTAACTTGGATTTCACTGTTGGATGATTGGAAATAGTACACTTAATGCCACTTTGATTGGTCATGAGGGTTAACCACTCTTTGTTTGCCATAAGTCATAAACCCACCCAGGGGTCACGTCAGCACATTTCAAAGTAAGGGGAGACCATTTTACCGATTGCTATCCGACCATATTCACTGTGGATTCTCAGCCTGACGAATCAGTTTAGATCTGGTTTGCCTTAGATTCTGCATTTTCCTGGCTCCCAAGCACCAAGATCTCAGGCAGAGACTACTGGTATGGAGCTATTTTTTCTTTGACTTTTTGGGTGTTGGTTGCGACATATGTCTGTTGCCTCGTGATGGTTTCTCTTACACATTGCCATACACCGTAGAGGTTCCTAAGAGTTCCTTACTTCAGTTTTCTGCACAGTTTAGGAATCTAAACAGTTTAATTTTCCGTTTACAAGCAAAGAGCTATCGATCAGTCCTTTTTGATTTAAGAAAGCCTGTCTTGGTAATGTAAGATGGGGGGGGGGGGGTGTTCAATTGTAAAGCAATAGACTGTTGACTCAGGTTAGCTGTATTTTGAAAGTGCACAATAGAACTAAGCGTGTGGTACTGATGAATATAATATAATATATATAAAAATCATACTTCATGTAAAATTGATATAGATCCTTCTGTTGTACTGTACGTGGTATCAAATTTTGTTTGGAATTTGACATAAAAAAATTTTTTTGAAATTTTATCCTGTTGGCTATAAAACGGGTTTCAGATTTTATATTTAACAAAATTTAAGTAGGTATAATTTCAAACTGAGTGGTATTATTTTTTTGTTTTGTTTCAGGTGGTTTTGCCAAGGTGAAACTTGCCTATCATGCCTTGACAGGTGAAAAAGTTGCTGTGAAAATCATGGACAAGCGGCAACTTGGGGTATGATAACATTTTTGTTCTCATAAGACTCATCTCCAATCTGCATTGTTCTATGGAGGGGATGTGGGGAGGGGCGGGGGGCTCTCATGGCCTAGACATACTGTGTTCGCCCCTCAGTCAAAAGGTCCTGGGTCCTGAAACAAAAATGTTTTCTTCTCTTAATTTATTCTTTGTACTCCATTCCTGTTCTCTTATCTTGTTCTGTCATCTGCTTACATCTCCAATTTCTCCCCCCCTCCCCTGGCCTCCTCTCTGCTCCTTTCTCCCTTACACCTAACTCTTTCAACTGCTGCCTTTCATTCTCACCCCTGATCATAGTGTAGGCAAGATCATTGAACACCTAGCCTTCTTAGATAAGGACTAAAAATGTTGGGGGTATCGCATGAAAATTGTACACATGTACACATTTAAGGTCCCTCGGTGATTCTAAAATTAACCAGAGTTGGCTTCGGCTGCCCCCCGGGCAAAATTCCAAATCAATCAACAAAACAGAAAATACTCTGGTCAGTTCAAAAGATATAGAGAGTTCTTTTGAAATTGAAATGTGGCTCTCTGAAGACAAGGGGCCTTTCGAAGAGGAAAAATGGTAATATATGTTCAAATCAGTTGATTGCAGGTTGGAGAATTAGCAGTTGACTGCCCTTGAGATTTAGCAGGGGAATGCAAAGAAGAGGAAGATTGGTCTATTTGATCGAAATAAAATTGTACACACATTCTCTGCAAAACTTTTATTGTCGGCTGTTTATTAAATGTTTGGCCTAGTGGTTAGGCTACCGGACTCGTAATCGTGAGGTTGCAGGTTCGGGGGTTCGAGCTGCGGGCCCAACGTTGTGTCCTTGGGAAAGGCACTTAACATGAATTTTCCCCACTTCACCCAGGTGGGATTGGGTACCCAGCTATAGACAGTGAAAGATCTTGTCAGTTTGTTAGTGTTTGAGCGCTTAACCAGCTGCTTGCACTGCATGCTTCCCGGGAAGCTGAGAATGTTTCTAAGTGTTCTATGGTCTGCTGGGGTAATAATATAGTGTAAAGCGCATAGAACTTGCTTTCGAGTGGGGACCTGCGCTATACAAATGCTATTTATTATTTTATTGCTGGACGCATATTCAGTGTATAGTTTTTGCAGGTTGAAGAGCCCATTGCAGGTAAATAAATGGCAACGAATAAAATTGCAAGTATAGTCAAGCGGAAAGTGCTCTTTGTTTACAAGATTAATACATGTAATCATCTGCATAATAATATTATTATAATCAGTATATTATTATTATTTTCTGGTAAAACTACTGCTCAAAATAATTTCCTTTGAACTAGAAGTAGCATTTACTTATGAAATTGTTTGTGTGCTGCAGCTTAGTTTACTTTGATCCTAGATGAAAGGATGTGGTGGCTGTTTTGTTAACTAAGATTTCAACATTTTCAGCCTGAGCTACCAAGAGTCACCACAGAAATTGCAGCCATGAAAGAACTCTGTCATCATCATATATGCAAGCTGTTTCAAGTAATTGAGACAGAGACAAGGTTTTATCTGATCCTTGAGGTTTGCATCACTTTACCTCACAAAATTTTTGTTTCACCAGCATGTATCAATGAATTTGAAGAAGACTCATGTAATTAGAAGAAATTTCTTTGACTGTTTTTGACTATATACTCATTTCTGATGTACATTTTTGTTAAACAAGTATTGGCTCTTTAGTGATTGTGTTTTTCATGTTTGTGTGTTTTTCATGTTTGTTTTGTTGTTCACTTTAGTTTCTTCTATGTGCGTGCAGTATGAAAATGTTATCAAAGCCAAAGCGGGTGGTGCTCTGGTGTGATTTGCTCCTTCTTTCCTATCAATCATCTATTATCTTTTCTCTCCTCCATCTTTTTTGTGTTTGTTACTCTCTTGTAACATCTCTGATCTTCAGCAATTACGCATATATGACCTAATTGTGTTGCAAATGTTGTAAAACTCGTATGATAACAAACATGTCAAAAATAGAATGGGGGGATTGTTTGAAGATAAGTTTCCAACCTCTTTGCTATGTTCTTTTTAAGACAGGGTTTAATGACATTCTCTACTGTAATATTTCATAATGAGCATAATTTTACAATCCTTTTGTTGAAAAATGAAAGTGTGCGTCCAATAAGTGCTAACATTTTTAAAGCTACAACTTGTTTGCGTGTACTTTTTCATGACTCATTTATATTTTCTTTCCCTGCAGTACTGCCCAGAGGGGGAGCTCTTTGACTACATAGTGTCCAAAGATCGGCTTGAGGAAGATGAAGCACGAATTTTCTTCCGACAAATAGTGGCTGCTGTGGCCTACATACATGATGTTGGTTTTGCCCACCGTGATTTAAAACCAGTAAGGGATTGTGTTGTGTACTTTCTGTTGACAATGCTGTTTGCACCTCAGGTCAAATCTATTTGCACTGTATTGGTAAAAGATTCTTTTTTTTTTAAATGGCTGACCAGTGTGTGTCAGTGCTGTGATTGTGAATTCTATGGACGTGTCCTAATAAATGTTCTCTTTGTAGACATTCAATTTTTAAATGTGTAGTGTAGTATTGGTGGACAACATCTGGATCAAACTTTCTATGTAAGCTGGACAAAAGTTAGTTGTTTGTTGTTTTTCAAAATTTAAGATTTATTTAAATTTAATTATATATATTCAAACTATCATTATCAAATTACATATTCTTGGCCGATGATAAATTATTCGTGTTGTACTGGAAGGGGGGAGGGGTGTAATTTAAGGACTTTATCTTAATGGTTTCAAAATCAGATGTCCAGAAATGAATAATCCTCCAAAACAGTCTGGTGTGGTTTGCTTCTTCTTTCCTATCAAACATCTATCGTCCTTATCTCCCCTTCTTCTTTTTTATGTTTGTTACTCTCTTGTAACGCCTCTAATCTTCTGGCGCTCATATGACCTTATGCAGTTGCGAGCGCCGTAAAACCTCTACTAAAACTAACTTTAAAAAAACTAGTCTTATCATCTTGAAACTTGTTTTAGAAGGCTTTCTGGGGGTGTTTTACGCAGGTCAGACCACTCTCTTGTCCTTCTACAGTTTTAATCTGTGTTGCCAGGTTTTACTCAAGTGACTTTATTTGCATATTTCAGGAAAATCTGTTGCTCGATGAAGAGCAAAATATCAAGCTGATTGATTTTGGGTTGTGTGCCAAGCCAAAGGCAAGTGTTGAATATTGCTATTGTGTTTCATTCTCTAACTCTGTTTATATTGTTCAGTGCTCCACTGGAAAAAAAAAATTATTATTTGCTTTGTTTTGAATGTTTGTAGACTAAGATTCAGTGTAAATTCTTGAGATTCCTATTCTGTGTGCAATAGCATATAATTCATACATGATGGTTTTCCGCGGAAATCCGCGGTTTTGAAGACCAGAAAGGAATTTCCTCGCTTTTCCTCGGATTCCTCGCCTTCTGTGATTTGATGATGGTCGTCGTATCCGCGGAATTGCGAAATGATGATTTTAAGATGAACTCTTCATTTGGGAAAGATCGCAGAAAGACTCTTTTTAGATTCATTTCCGGTGTAAACAGACCACATGAGGAGTGTTGTGCATTTGCATTATTTCTTGAGTCTTTGTACCTATTCAGGGTGTGGTGAGATTAACAATTTCAGTGGAAGAAAAGTTGTGAATCAGGAGTGTGAAGAAAAACTGAATATTGTTTAAATTATTACTGCTGGTGTTAGAAACTTAGATCTTTACTTGGATCTAGATAGGCTGTCGCATCTGCGGCATCGACATGAAGACTCTTGGCAAAAGTGAAGTAGGGCGCGTCATGGAAATAGATGCTAAAGTGAAGAATAAATTTAGGTTTGAGTGGTTGGAGACACTTTTGAAATAAAAATCAAAGAAACCTGGTGAATTGGATGTGAAACCTGGAAATTCCATTGCTAAGTTGGATATTGCTGGCAAAGCCCTTTGTTCGTATTGCAATGATGTGATAAGCTATGATGGTTGAAAAGGCAAGGTTGCATTAGTTGATCATGTTCAATCTACAAAACATGTTTTTCGAGGGGAGCATAGGAAGACAAATTATAGTCTTGGTGGTCAGTTCTCAAAGGCGACTCAAGAAACACCCATTTTCCTTTTATTTAGACCTAGGTCTAATAAATCTTCTGCTGGTTCTTCTGACGAACATTCGACTTCTGCACCACCCCCATGTCAGCCACGTCCCCTCAAGTTGTTTTAAAGATAGGAGTTTTTAATGGGAAAACTGACTTTTATATGTCACGCAACATTTTCCTTGTTTTTCACTTTTGGTCATCATCATCACTGATAATTTTGTCCCTTTTCTTTTCTTGGTCTTGGAATCTTGTATTTCGGTAAACTTTAGAAAACAAAGTTTTAAAAATGTTTGCCACCTCAGATTCCCCCCCCCCCCCCTTAAAGTGTATTGGAATGCTTTTAAAACTATACAAATACAAAATGATAGTCCAACACACACATCCCCCCCCCCTCCACACACACACACCTCACAACACATACTTCTACTTTATTGCTTTAATGTACAGCTTGTCTAATGTTGATTTTTGCTGGAAAATTATGATAGTCAAAAGTGTATGTGTAGAATGTTGTTGAAAATACATTTTCAATTTCAAGTACATCGTTCAAATGTGTTTTTCAGGGTGGTATGAGTAGCTATCTGGCCACATTGTGTGGAAGCCCTGCATATGCTGCACCAGAGCTGATTGCTGGCAAGCAGTATCTTGGCTCTGAGGTGAGGGGCAAAGTGCACGAACTCAAACCTAGTCTAGATGGTGGTTATATTTATATATATATATATATATATATATATATATATATATTTCTTTTTTTGTTGTTGTTTATTTTCTAAAGTTCTTATTGGTCTGTTATTTGTCAGACAGAAATGTAGGTGGTTAGAGGGTGCTTCTGGTAGGTCTTACTTCTTTTCCTTCCTTCTGTTGTTTCTGTCTGTCTGTCTGTCTTTCTCTTTCCCTGCACAAAAATGACTTGTTAGTAGGCTTCTTATTACTCAAACAAACAAGACGAACAAAGTAAACATTTTATTATGTGCTTCCTTGGAGGTCACTAGTCTACATTTAAAGCTGTAGCCTCATGTGGACAGATATTCGCCGTATCAACCCCATGCACGAGATCGCTAGGGCTCCAAATTTTCATTTTATCTGAAAGCGATCAGTTTTACTTGTTTTTGAAACCTTCTGTGAATTATTATAGCTCCGGACTTAGAAAAGAAGGTTGCGGCTTGTAGACTTTCTACTTCATACATATTATGTCAAATGCTTTTTGAAAATTGAAATAGAAATGTGGCTTATCCTGATTCCCTGATCGCTTTTACTTTGCTTTGCTTTGCTTTGTGTGAGACGAGCTACACGATAGTTTGGTTTAACAGACTGGCTTGATTTTTTTGTCTCAAGATTCAGTCATGGAGGGACATGACTTTTAAAAATGTTGTGCTTAATCATTACTTTAAAGCAATATGCCTGAGTATGAGTATGACTGCCTTTACCTGTCTGTGCATAGAACTTATGCCTCAGCGTACAGCAGTAAAATAATAATAATAGTTACATTTACACAGCGGAGGTTCCCGCTCAGCAGCAAGCTTTATGCATTTTATAACTTCTATTATGACCCCAGCAGACCCTCAAACACTCAGAACCATTCTCGGCTTCCTAAAACTAAGAGGCAAACAGTGCTAGCTGCACTCAAACCCTAACAAACTGACAAGATCTTTTGCTGTCTATAGCCAGTTATCTATTGCCATGTAGTTGAAGTGAGGAAAATTCGTGTAAAGTGCCTATCCCAGGGACACAACATTGGGCCCTTGACATGATTTGGACCCACGACCCCACCTTTGAGAGTATGAGAGGCTAACCGCTAGGCCACCGATGCCACGTATATATCCAGCAGTTGATGCAGGAGATCAACGATGCACAGGTCCAATAGGCTTAGGGGTTCAGGACTCAAGGGGTTGAAACAGAAAAGGATGTTGTAAGTCACGTCCCGGCTTACACTTGTACTGAAGTAAAAATTACAGCACACTGACATTGCTACTACCATTTGTTTACAGGTTGACCAATGGAGTATGGGAGTGCTCCTGTATGCGTTGCTATGTGGATTTCTACCCTTTGATGATGAAAATATTTCTCAACTGTACAAAAAGATCAAGGTATGATGTTCAAGGGGAATACTTTTACCCTCCAGGTGTCGGTAACAAAAAGCCTGGGGTTTCAGGGAAAATTATATTTCACCATATTTCTTTAGAAAATGATTGAGAACAGGCAAACCAAGCAAGTAGAAACCATAAACTAATGCATTTTCAGAAAGTAGAATAAACATACGAAATACAGCTCTTTTATGGAGTTGAAATGTTTGGTGATATGAAAAATGTGATGATATAAATGATCTGAAATAGCGACTGAAATTTTTGTCATTAAATCTGCCGCAACGCCACAGATTGAAACTTACGGCCAATTTAATCGGGGAGGGGGGGGGATATTTGGCTGATTTTCCTATGGTGCCTCATATACAGTGGAGTCTGCTTTTACCAAAATTTTGGACACTGCTTGATTTACATTGGTTTAGCTGGGTTTTTCGGTTTAGAGAGATTTCTTAAAAAGAAGGGAAACAATCAAAAGGATTTTCTTTTTACTTTCAGTTTACCTGTTTTTGGATTAATTGTGTTCAGTTTTAGTGGACTCCACTGTACATGTAATGCATAGATATTATTCTGGCCTGCCATGTTGACTTAAAAATTTATTTGGACCGCCAGCATGGGACGTACTCCTCTCCTGAGTGGCTGAGTGAGGAGAGCAAAGAGTTGATAGCTCACCTGCTTCAAGTGGATCCCAAACGTCGCATCACCATCCCAGATTTGCTGCAGCACGAGTGGCTTACACACGGCTTCAACGTTCCAATAGAGTGGCAAAGCAAATACAAGGTGCTCTGAATATTTTATATATTTCATTAACACTCATGTTTTAGCCTTTAGTTTTTAGTAAGAGGTTTTGGCACTTGAAACACTAATGGTCTCATATAAGTGCCATAGATTAGGGGTGATATGAGAGAGTGAAATACAAAGAAAAGGAGGAGAGATAAGGATGATAGATGTTTAATAGGAATGACGGAACAGACCACATCAGAGTACCTGCCAATCACCCACACTTTATTCATATGTTAACATGATGTATAATCACATCAACCGTCAACATCGTCACTGTCACAAGAAAGATGAGCAGCTCAAATTATTTAATTGATTGATCCTACACTGGATGTGTTTTGCACAATTTTTTAAGCATTTGACCTTGGAAATGTAATGTAAAAACTTATAAATATATGTAAACGCTCAGGACAATTGTATTTTAACAGTGTATGGATTCTTTGTGATTCAACTTGATTTCGATCCATGCATTTCCACAAAGTGACAGAAAATATTGCCATGAGAATGATATCAAACATTGACCTTTTGAGTTTTGCCTTTTCTCTTTGAACAGTTGAAATTTTTGTAGGCATTGTGCATTATTATATAAAACTTTGGTCACATATCTTCTTGATATCTGCTGCAGAAAAATCTGGATGATGACTGTGTCATTGAATTGTCTGTGCATCATGGGAAGAAAAGAGTGGACATGGAGGATGAGATACAGGAGGTTGGTGTGTTGTTTACTTCATGCACAGCCTCAGCGCTGTGTGAAAATTTATAGTATTTCTTTATCTTTCTTCTCCTTTTGTTTCTTTTCAGTATACTAATCTCTATTTCAGACAAAGAGCAGCTGTTGTCTTGCTGATACAATGTACACTGCTACTCAGCTACCATAAAAAGCGCAGCCGAAATTGTCTAAGACGGCCACCTATTGTGAAGGTGAAAAGTGGCCATCTTAGCCAGGACAGATATTTTTCTGATCCAGAGCCAGGACTGATCAAAATGAAGAAAACAAACCATTCCCTTCTGAGGTCCTAATTGGAGGTGGTCATGGGCCTAGGACTGTCGTAAGGTCCATTAAATGTCACCGACTGGTCAACTTGGATAAACAGTGGGAATGACAGGAAACCTCGCTTTTGCAACATGCTGGTCAACCATTGGTTCATTTATAAGACAGGCTAACAATAACGACAAGTGAATGGATTATGGCAGCTCATCCAGTGTCAGGGGCTGATAAATATATGGCAATGTTGGCAAGGAGTTGGGCGATGAGAGATTTGTTTGGACATCTCGGACAGGTTTTTAGGGCTGTTTGTTGTGGCTGTTGAACACTTTGGACACGTTATAGTTTCGGGGAGTGCTATGATATTGAGAGAAAAAAAACGCAAGGAGGGAAATGGAGGGTGGCTGTTTGTCAGGTGGTTGTCTTGAGGCAACCTGGGCATATTTGACTGTATTACTTAATTGTTTGAGTTATTTGAATCTAGAACTGGGGTCTTAGGAAGATGGGATGCTTCCTCGCCCCTCTTCATGAGGGTCCATTTCAGTGTGGGCAGGCTGATTGTCTGTATTCCTAGCTCTAATCGTCTTTGCTTCTTTGAGCTGCCTCTTAATTCAATTGAAAAATAAACTCTTTTGTCAAATTACTGCCTCTGTTAATTGCTAAGCAGCTTTATAAGTGTACTCTTTTTGCATCAATCTATGTGTTGAACTTGTTATGGTTACTGGCTTGAACTCTGTTTTTCATAATAATGATAGATATTATAATGTGCGCCAATTCTCCTGCCTTTTATTCTCCATTGTCTCTGATGCTTTCTTTGTTAATGTTTGATGATCAGATGTATTCTACATTTCTGTTCTGTGTCGCACTTGCTTTGATTGAGTTGATAATGGAGGTATTGGTTTGTATCCTTGATTTTCTTTTTCTTTCCAGTGGAAATATGATTACTTGACTGCCACATATTTCCTGCTGCTTGAGAAAAAGAGGAAAGGCAAACCTGTGAGGTTGTTGCTGAAACCTTCAAACAGAGAAGATCGTTCTAGGGTAGGTATATTTTGTTTAGAGGCTTTATATGACATGGATTTTTAAAAAATGTATTCTTTATTCATTACAAAATTGTAACTTTGATAACTCACTAGTCAATAAAAGAATTTTTGAAATGATGAATGAAAGCAGACGTGCTTCAACATTTTTTGTTCTTATAAACACGTCTGCTTTTATATGAGATATGTTAATGAAAATAAATGTTGAAATCTTTTTACAATAAGTATTCTCCTGACTTAAAGTGTGTTTTTTGACACGTGGAAACTATAAAAAATGTTATAAGGACACATTTTATTGATTGTGGAGTTGCACTTGGTGAATGAGACTAGTAGACTGCCTCTGACCGTTTTCTGTTTCTACAACTGTACGGAACATGGTTGATGTGTATTGGGTGACCTGAGCTATTATGTAATTGTTTGAACTGTTGCTACTTTGAATTTTGACAGTGTAAGGTACTCTGAGGAAGTGCATTCCTCCTGTTTTCTCCTTCCATTGTTCTTTTTTGTCTATTCTGTATTTCTTTTTTTCATCTATGCGAAATAACCAAAATTGTGTCTGCATGCTTCTCTTTAGTCTACAAAAGATGTACATTTTTGTGGTGAGTATATCAGTATTTGTCTTTTCAGTCTCGGCATTACAGTTCAGAGGAAGACCTGGAGGGAGTTGACTTTGGAAGTTCTCCTTTCATCCTGACACCTCAAAGCACCAGGGACAACAAGTTCTCGGCCTCCCACCCCGAGCGACCAAGGGCGAGGGAGAGACTGGACTTCAACAATCCTGTGGAGACTGCGCAGCGGAGAGCTGGTCCCAGGGAGGAGGTCACTCCCAGCAAGAGTGATAAGGAGAACTGTCCTATCAAGAGAGGGACTGTTATCTGTACTGGTGATTTGAAAGAGAAGGGGGCTGATCTCCCCGGTTCCAAAAACTGGAGAAACGAAGCTGGCAGATCATCCAGAAGTAGAGAACGGAAAAATTTGAATGATGTTAATAATGGTCATGTATATAATGTAAAGACTGCTGAGCACCATCGACAAAGTCATGAGGAGAAAAGTTCTGAACAGAGAGCCTCCACTGCACCAAAAGAAGGAGTCAGTGGGAGAGGTACACCTTCAAGACAACCTCCAGCTTATGTGAAAAATTCTGCCCCACGAACTCCAAAGGTAAGAATTCAGCACCACTTGGGCATTCATGTGATAATTATTTAACATTGGAACGGCGAGAGGAAATTTCAGTTCATATTCTTTTATTGTTATTTTTGTATTGCGTTTTTTTATGACAAAGATTTTTCTTCCTTTTCTTTTTGTTTGTTTGTGGGTTTTTTCTTGCTACCAGCCTTTTACACTTTTTGGCTTAGCTATTAGCATCTGAATAGCTAGTTGACATTGTGGTTTGTAGCGTGGTCTGCTTCTGCTCCTCCTTTTCGTTCTTTTTCAGTGGTTCTTCTAATCTGGTTCCTGGCTATATGTGGTCAAATTACCTTGCTGTGATTTACAGAATATCAAAACTTGTCCTCCCATAAATCTTTTCTTTTTATAGGCCAGCATGTATTACCAAAAGACTTTTTTTCCCAACAGAAATCTTTGTCACATGCTCCATAATACAAAATGAATAGTTTTTCTCTTTCTTCTCTCTAAGAGGATTACATTCTACTTTGGCTTTTTGAATGGCTATAGCTCGCTTACTATAAGGACTAGATGTAGTAAAGTACAGTCATACCTGCCAAGACGACAACCTGTACAAACAGCCACTTTCCATTTCCCCCCCTTGCGTTTTTTCTATATATAATTTAACTGTGTAAAATGGGCACCTGTCCAACGCGGCCGCTGCCACCATATTTTAACACACAACCCCTATCACACTAAGCAATAACACCTGTCTCAGACGGCCACCTTAGTGACTCCATTACGTTTTGTCATAAATTGTGCATTGGCCCCTGGCGTTGTGGGCGAGCTGTAATATCCAATCACCTGTCGTTATTGTTAGGTAGTCCCTCCAACCGACCCTGTTGCGTTGGCCCCTCCCACTGTTGACCAATGGCTACCAATTTTCGGCTACTGGTGAGGTAAGCGTGTGATCCCTCATAACCCATAAGCCCCGCCCAGATCTCATACACAAATCGTACCTGAGATGAGTGGTCACTGTTTACCCAGTCTATAACAAAACAAAGGATGTCAACATGAACTTGTGACAGAAGCGTCGCTCGTACTCTGAGTTGTGGTGACCCATGTGTTTGTTTTAACATGGCACTCGGTCTTCCTCGTCTGATACATTTAGTTTTATTGTCACCCTTGTGCAAAATCAGCAACAAAATAAAAATTACAAACAAAACACAAACCAGCAACAGCAAAAACAACAAAAATTACAACAATGCAGCTACTTTCAATTGGGACCTCAGATGGGAATGGTTTGTTTTCTTCATCTTGATCAGTCCTGCCTAAGACGGCCACCTGTCTTATACGGCCACTTTTCTCCTTGACAATGAGTGGCCGTCTTACACAGGTTTGACTGTATATGTCAAATAAAAGAGAAATAAGAATTTTGCAGATAAAAGTGAGATTTTAAACAGTTCCATGTCCGTATTCGAGATCTCTGTCATCTTTGAGATTAGATCTATGACAAAAACTTTCTTCAGATGAATTTCAATTGAAATCTTTGTCATCACTGTCTGCTTCTCAATAAATTTCTGCAATAACTTGATCCGCAGACCTAGTCAACTTTTCCGAAACCATCGTAGCGAATGTAGACTGCACGAAAAAACAACCCCCCCTCAGAGAGGAAGACTGATTTAGTCATTCGCGCAAAACACACTACACACCTGTCTCTTTGTTTTAGCTTCTACATGCGAATCCCGGGAATAAGAGCCTAAAAATTGGCATGATCGCATCGGCAAGTGGACAGAGAATGTCCTGTAACTCTTGTTATTCAAAACTGTGCAGAAGTGAAGATATGCGAGAAACAAAACAAGGGTTTTTCAGGCGTACCAGGTATGCCCTCAGTGCACAGGAGAGTGAATTGTTAGGGCGTACTGGGTATGCCCACAGCAGGCAAGGGGTTAATTTTAGAGACAGGCCGGTACATTTTGGTATTTTGGCAAAAGCAAAGTATAATCCTCCCATGTCCTTGCACATCATGACAATCACAGCGCGCTGTTTTCTGTTCTTGTTTAAGAAAGCTGCAACTCTATTGAAACCTCGGTGACCCACAAACAGTGCAGTTAAACAGGGGTGGGGTGAGTGGACACCATACTTTAGTTTGACAAGTTTTTCCCCCTTAATGTACTATCTTACTGTGGATTGGTTTTTTTTCATCCAGAGCTCCAGGACACCTGGAAGAAGAGAGACTGGAATAGACTCCCAAAAAACTGAGGGGGACAGAAGCAAGAGTCGACCCCGGGATGGCCATTCAACTGCTGTGTCTTCAAGCCAGAGACAAAAGGAAGAGTTTGCTGTCCCACATACTCCCAAGGCCCGGCCCACGCCTGCTAGGACTCCCAAACATAAGCCGCAGTCCCTTATGACACCCAAACAACCTCAAGTCAAGTCTATGGATGACTCTTGTGAGTGTTACTTTCATGTCTTTCCTGTTTTAATCTGTTCATAAAATTAGTGGTTTGTAGAGCGGTTTATTGAACATCTAGCTCTCACTGGCAAAATTGAAGGCAAATGAGGCAGGGGTAGACCTAGAGCAACCTACTTAGAGAGCCTAAACAGATGAGTCACAAGGGAAGATCAGGATCATGTAGCTTCTTTGAGAGCATCCGAGCAAAGGAATGAACGGAGAACCATTATAGTCGATGTTTGTAGCAGATGTGGCACTTGATGAGAATGGTTTGTTGGTTTACATTCTGGTGTGGATGGGTTTAGAGGTCCACTTCTTTTGTGTTGCTGTTATCATAATTTGTCCCAGTATAATGTAGCCTTTTTCATGATGACTTGATGTATACATAGCAACTCAATTACACCAGCAAAACTTTTGGATTGTACTTGTTTCGGGTGGGTGCTTGGGAGGCACCCCTCTTTGGTCCGACTTCTCTTTGCTCTTCTGTTCGTGCGGATGCTTTGAGGGAACTACTGGTAGAGCTTACCTATTTTCTGTTCATCTGTAGTTTCTGTCTGTCTTACATTATCCCTGCACTAAATAAATTAAATGTTATTGTGTTGATGTGCATCTCTTAACTCAAACAAGTTTGTGGGTAGTTGGTGGGTGCTCTGGCATGATATGCTCCTTCTTTCCTTTCAAACACGTATTGTCCTTGTTTCTGCTCCTTTTTTTGTATGTTACTCTCTAGTAACACATCTAATCTGTGGCACTTAAATGATTTATTTGTGTTGCAAGTGCCATAAAACTTCTGATCATTTGCTTTTCTTTTTCCCCTATACAAGATGGCCGCTGTTGTGTCTTAACGCATCTCTTTACTCAAGCTACGTTGGACAAAATGTTTTTTCCTGAGATCAAATAGATGATCAAAATTTTTTTCCCGTAGTTTAATTTTGCTTGAATTCGTCTGAATTGGGACTATTTAAAAAATGTGTGCATCTCAAAGGCAGACTTGGTAGGTTTCCAGAATTCTCATGACGATGGGTAAATTCTCAGAACCAAAGACTGTCCAGATAAGCTTAGGCTCTTTCTCCAGTAAATCAGTCAAATGGACAAAATAATTCCTTTCTTTATCTGCTTGCTTGTTTTGGCACATTGTTATATAGTCCCATTTAGTATTTATTTGTGTTCAAAGAATGGAATCTACAGTAGTGTGTGTGACAGTGTTTGCTACCCTGTTTGCAGTTGTCCGTGAAAAGTCGGGACTGAACAGTACGTTCTCGCCCTCACGTTCCTATGACTCACAGCTGAACAACCTCATAGAGGATGAGACCTCTAAAGTCCCGATGACAGATGCTAACAAGTCAGTATGCCTTTATCGTTCTTTTTGTGCTTTTTGATTTTACATCTCCTGACGTGCTACTTTGTCAGATTATCCCATTTTTCTTGTTGCATTCATTTCATTCTTTTTTTACATCTGCATTTTTATCTTGTCCCATTTGTCGTTTTTCTATCCACTATATTAGATTTTAGTTAGTTGTATGTGGGAAAATATTTTGCCGTCATCTTGTAATGTTATAAAGCAATGTTGAATAAAATGTGTATCTTTAACACTTAACGGTCACTTGCCGCAATAATGTGACGGTGAAAATTATTCGTTCTGGCCACTTGATGCAGTTCTGCAACAGGCCCGAGAAGTCCGTTGCAGTCACTCTCCTGGCTGGGTGACAGATAAAGAAGGAGTATTTTGTACTGCTGGCTGTGTGACTGCAAAGTGTTAATTTTAATGAGACCTGTCCATGATGTCTTAAAGTGCTAGAAGATTTTTCATCTCAAAATGATCTTAATTGCTACAGATATTTATACTTCAGATTCTTTTGTCTGTCTGTTTTCCTTTTTCCATGCATTTACTGGTGATGCTTCTCTTTTCTCAAGCAATTAAATTATCATACTAATACTAAACAACTCCCCCCCCAGGGCAGCTTCAAGATCAGTGGATGATGAACTTTACAGAATGCACATGGCAACCCCTGACAGTGGACAGCGGTCAAGGAAGGGTTCAGTTCTTGGCAGCATCGAGCGAATGTTCAACATGCTTACCCCAAAGAGGAAAGGTTCCACAACCGATGGACCTCGGAAAGCAAGGGTATAACGATCCTTCTGCACATTTCTTTTGCTCGAATGAAATTATGTATCTAACTTATTTCTTAGCATTTGGGGCTGTTGTGATGGTGACCTGACAGCTATTCCTGTTCATGTAAACATGTATTTATATAAATGTGATGTATGTCATGAATTTCCCTCATGTCTCCCAAAATCAAAACTTGAGCATCCGTCTTGTCTGCTTTCCAAGACTCAATTTTCTTCTGAATTTCCATGCTTCGTTTTTCTTTACCCTATCCTTACGCACTGGGGTCATTTTGTACCCCCGCGGTTGTATTCTTCACATTTTAGAATACATCTAGTGCGAAGATCTCTTTGAAACTTTCAGTACATCTCAAAAAATCATTTTGACAGACTGCTACTCAAAGCGTACGGATCGGATTAACGAGTAAATTTCCTCTTTGGAAAGTGGTGGCACAGAGTTCCCCACGTCCTATGGATATGATAGTAAAACACGACGTACAGATAGAATTAAAATTAATTTTGTAAATTAGAATGTTATACCCGTTTCTGTTTGTCAACATTTCTAAATCAGGATGATATCACGTCAGTTTTTGATGTTGTTTCTTCCAGGCTTTGCACAATGTCTGCCTGACCAATGAACTCAGCCCTGACCATGTTCTAGCCCAGCTCAAGGCCACGCTGCACCACAAGTGCATCCCGTTCAAACAGAGCGAGTGAGTCTTTTTTATCATTTATCAGATAAATATTGGCACTGTGTTCTTGGTTACTATGTTTCTGTCAAGCTCAGGCCGCAACCATATTAACGCCTGACACGGACGGACCAGACCGTCTTCGGGCACAAAAGAATGCGCACCGGCTCTTAAGTAATGGAAGGTAACAAAAACGGTTTGGGCTACCATACTGACGCCCGATGTCCGGTGTCGTCCCCAGTCAGACTGTCTCCGATAAAACATGTTCTATCGAAGACGGTCCGTCGGGTGAGATGGGGGGTAATTTTAATGTTATCTCTGCATAGTTGTGTCCCCTTCCCCGTGTCAATGACACTACACAGAATTCTAGCAGTTCTAGTCAGCTCTGCATATAATTTCTGTAACAGTTCATTGAAACTGCTATGTTTCATGCCATAGTATTGTTGGAAATTTCACTATCTTCCAACGGTGGTGGAAACAAATGATGAAATTCACTTAGTGTATCACGCTTTCTTTGGATGGGATGCACTGAAAATCTTCTTGTCTTGGTTTTTTTTTCCTTTTTTTTGTCTGCGTCTCAAAAGCAACAACAACATTTTTCTTGTTCTACCACATGCCATATTTGCAAGACGTCGGTGTCTGACCGCCAAACTCTGGTGTTAATATGGTCGGCGGAAAACAGCGGGTCTGGTCTGACTGTTGGTGTCGTGCGTTAATATGGTTCTACCCTCAGTGTTTGTCCTTCAAAATATATATTTTTTTTTACAAATAAAAACAACCCCCCCCCCCATTTTGAAGAGGAGGTTGACTTAACTTGGAACTATCCATTATGAAGCCAAATGCGTTCTGTTTGAATAGAGCAAATGTGCCTTTCTATCCATTGGTCACGGGCCTGTTACATTAATTCTCTCTGGTGCTCATTGTTTGTACCCCTAAATGTGTTCAGTATTTTTTAACATTCTAAAAACTCTGATCATTAATAGAGAGGTTGACTTAATATGGGTATAAATTGTCCGTGATGAAGCTAACTCATTACGTTCTTACAGAGTGAGTCTTTTGTACTGTTTACCAGGGTGTGGTTTGCGCCTTCTTTCCTATCAAACATCTGTCGTCTTTATCTCCCCTCCTTCTTTTTTACGTTGTGTTGCAAGTGCCGTAAAACTCTTACTACTACTAAACTAAAAAAAAAAAAGCACTTGTTGTAAAGCTGAAAAAAGGAGGTTGACCTAATTCAGATATGAACTGTCTTTTATAATGATAACAATAAAAATTGCATTTACATAGCACATTTCAAAGCTCCGCAGCATTTTCTATGCGCATTTTAAATATTAATTATGAAGCCAGATGTATTCCTGTCAAAGAGAGCGAATGAGTCTTTTTGTCCCTTAGTAGGTAGCGTAAACACGGCCTCGCGGGCACTCGCGGCCTTCCGACCGCGTGGTATCGGTGAAATCGGGGTAATTCCGATCGCTGTTTCTATGCTCTTTCGCCATAAAACACCAAATGCCGTACACCTTGTAAAAGTTCAGATTTTTTTCGTTACAGTGGTGTAAGTTGTTTATATGTCCGATTATTAGGAGCTGGAGAATGGCCGAGGAAAGCGAAGCCCCTTGCGGTCGGAATGCGTGGTCGGCCGGTTCAAAAATTGACACGCGTGCATTCAAATGCTTCGCAGAACGAGGGATGATTAAACACCGTCTTTTCATTGGCGGAGAACTGTAGAGCGTTAAACGGGCTTTCCCATGGTATATATTTGGTCTTTGGCGTTTAAATAGAAAGCCTTTAAGAATACCGTCAAAATTTTAAAAGATCATTTTTTACTCGAAATATCTAAAATACCGGCTTAAAAAAGGTATTAATTAAAAGACTAGTTCATTTCCTATTAGAATAAAGTAATTAGCGTGGAATTATTTTTCATCGATCCTTCCGCGAGACTGGGAAAGCATGTGGCCTCGCACGCGGGGTACACTACAGTATAGAGCCGACTCGCTCGCCGTGGGGGCCGGTGCGGCGCCGGCCAGGTCAACGCTCAGTGTTTTTGTCGAAATAACGACAGATCATCGAGTTTGTAATAATCTCACAGTCTTGAAAAGAATTAGGCTCCATATATTTGTTTTAGTGACTGTACTCTGTGGAGATGTTTAGTGCACTTGGTACTCTTTTATCTGTCAAACATGGGGTTGCAGCCAGTGACTGACTTTAACAAATTTGATCAAATTTTAAACAACTACCATTTTCTTAAAAATTGACTGAGAGGTTAAAGAATGGTACCAAAATGCTCAGTGGCCTATCAAATGGAACTGATAAATTTGGCATACTACAGCTACTTTGAAAATTTCTGGTACCTACCCTTAGTTTTTGGCTTACAAGTTCTCTCCAGTCCAGTGCTCAGGGTTTAGACATTCTTACTCATAAAGAACAATAATCTCAGTATGATTTAAAAAAAAAAAAATTACGGGTTCTATTTTTGAAATGCATCTACAGAACTTCTAGAGGCCTACTTGATCCAGTATCTCAGAGCCATCTATCTTAGTTTTGTCAGTGTGCTAAAATCATGATACAATAAGAGTTTAATGAGCCTTATGTATTATCCGATTTATTTTTCTTACTGCAGCTACTCTATTCGCTGCACCGTCATGGATGACTGGGGTCGCACCAAGCTGGCCTTTGACTTTGAGGTATGTGCCTTACCCAAGACAGCTTACATGGGGGTCCACCGGAAACGTGTCAAAGGAGATGTCTGGTACTACAAGCGGTTGTGTGAGGATGTTATGAGGACTGCCGGCTACATCTAAAGCCTCACCAGTGTCCAAAGAGAAATACATGGTTGTGACTGTGGAGGCGCACTTGGTGAATTATCTAATACGTTACCTCAACCTTATTTGTGTCGACAATTGTATGAACAAACACGCATACACCCGCACGTGCGGACACACACTCACACTCACACGCAGACACACTGTTCTCAACTCTGTTCATTTTATGATTCAGCATTTTAGAAAACTTTTTAGCTTAGTCGAATTTATTAATAAATATCCTATTTTTCAAAATGCCAATGGCACCATTAAAGTACAGCTTCCATTATAAAAATGAGCGTATATTAGGCAGCTGTTCCAATGTAAATGCATTTCAAATTTATAACAATAGCTTGTTCACTTTCATCTGATCGCTTAAAAAAAAGTATATCTCATTTTGCCAGTGTGCATAAAACTTTGCATGGGACTCCTAGGCCACTGTTCGAACAAATATATATATTTGTCAAAAATGTTTGATCCAGTTATAAAAGTTTCAGAGTTTCTTTATTTGGGCCCGATTATGTTAATAAGCACTGCCCTTTTAAGGTATGTCCATGTGATCACAACAATAAATGATTTACAGTAACCTGGCTTATAAATTGCTCATTTTGAGACATCAACATCACCCTGCCCCCACAATTCAGTGTAAGCTTGTCATCTTTCTCCCAAGACCATCTAGATGTCTGTTAGATATTGTTTCATACATAGTGTTATAGTGTGGTGTTCATGAAAATATGTAAACTTTTCTGTTTTAAGTGTAAAACTCGTATTATTTTTTTATACCCCCTTCAAGCTAACATCAAAGAAAATGTGTCGGAACCTTACTTTGCAGTGACCTTCATTTATGGGCTCTTAGAGTCTCTTGATCATCCAACTTTTATATCCACATGCAAAGACCTAAGAAGATTAAACAGCAATTTGTATTTATATTGTTTTAATGGCAGACAAAAGTGGACGAGCTATATTAGAACCATAGCAAAATATTTGGGGACCAATTTGGCATATTCAATATGCTTGCTTCAAGATGCCCTTATATACTTAATGGAGAACATGTCAATATTGTTAAGACACTTCCTGTGTGGTCTTTTGTTTTTATATATATTTCTAAAGTGCAGTTTTACTTTTTAGCATGTTTATCTTCAGAAGTTTAGAAATTGATATTTAGAAGTAGTGATGTTGATTTCTTTTTTTCCCCATCTATTTAATAGGGCTCATTATTACATGATCCGAGATTATGAAAATCCATAGTTTAAAGCTAGGTTTAAAAAAACAAACAACTATGTTTGTGTCAGAATAAAGTCATAGATTTGATTGAAAAGTCACATATATATACCACTGAATTCTCAAAGGTATTCTGCTAATCTTGGAAACTGAACAATCGTGCTGAATTATGGTGGGAACCCCCTTATGATGTCCAGCTATCTCTATGGCCCTGAAAATCTAGTGTACACAGGAAGGATTCTCATTGGTAGAAATTCTAGATTTGTCAAGTTTTTAGAATCTTGAAAGAGAAGGATACAAGTGCTCAAGCACCAAAAGTTTATGGGATTCAGATCTTTTCTGCTGCCTTATACATAATATGTACTAGACTAAAGACTTGTGTCAGTTCTTGATTGTTCTCTTTCACTGTTTGATTTTTCTTTCTGGTGCCATTTGTTCTATTTTCTGTATACTGAGATTATGTCTTGGGCGAGTACAAAATGTATGAGCAGTGTAGCTCAATAGGTTTGCACAAACAAGTATATGTATGATCTGACACTTTTGTTAAGTGGATGGATGGATGGTTGGTCCTACTTTTTTTCTCTACCTGCTTTTGTCTGTCTGTCTATCTTGCTCTTTTCAAGCTCTAAATGATAATTTTTGCGCTGGTTTCCTCTCTCTGTACACATTTACTCTTTTGTTGATGGAATTGTTTGAAACAGGCAGTAATTTTTCACTTGTGCTCATGTAAAGCATGAGGCAACATGGTGGGCTTTCTGCTGTTATAGCACAAATCACCACATTATATCAGTGATGCATCTATCTACTATCTATTCCAGTACCGTACTTGATTTTTAGGGCAGGTGATTGGAAGGTGCCACTGGTGGATCCTATTTCTTTTCTTTCCATCTCTCGTGTCTGTCTGTCTTTCTTCTTCCCCCACATAAAACAGCTATTATTGTATACATACTGATATGCTTCTTTTTGCTTTAACTGACTTAAGTAAATATGTATAGATATAGACCATGGAGCTAAAAAACAAAGAAGATACCTACAAATACATTTTTCATCTCACTCTTGTACTTATACTTTTCTTTTCTTTAAAAAAGAATTACTTAGGAACAGAAAGAAACCCAACTTTTGACTCTTTTCACATTTTCTATGTGTGTTGTTATTCCTCCTCGACGTTGTCATGGAGAGAATTTTTTTTAAAAAAAAATCAAAGCAACGAACATAACATAATAAAAATGTGTACTAAACGTGCCTTTATCATTATGTTCCATGATGTACGTTGTAATGAATGTTTTTAAAAAATGTTTTTGCTTTTGTTTCATGAGGTATCTTGGTAGTCAGCTTAGTCATTATTGATAGTTTTTTGTTTTTCTTTTGTGTGTGTGTGGCCAAATGTTATAATAGAACATGTATTCTTATCTTAGTGTATATGTCCCCATGCAAAGGGGTAAAAATGTTGAGGAAAGATGATTATTCTTTTTACTCCTTGTTTCTGCTTTGGTTATAGGCAGTTTCTTGTCTCAAGGATTGTTAAAAAAAAAGAAATCCATTGCAGTTAGAAATACGATGGTGTTTAGGTGTTTTTTTTGGTTTTTTAAAACAGGTGTTGAGAGATCAAAAGTGTATTGTGCACCAATGACTTACACAAAATTAAACACTATGCTTTGATTATATGAAATGGATATATATATGATTTAATTTAATGTTATAATATTTCACAAGTACCTCGGATGCTTCATAATATTGTTGTGCAGCTAGCAATCTATGATACTGTTGAAGGAAGGCTACTTCTATTTAAAAGCAGCAATATTTACAGCATAAGATCTTTCATGTAATAATTGTATAGTGTTTCTCCACTCACATTTAGTGACCAAAAATTTGTACTAACCATTTTCGCATGTAAATAAATTATGTACTTAATCGAGAAGCTGTGAATTTCATGTTTGTATTTTCAGTAATGTTGTTTTTGTTTCTTGGACTATGTTTACAGAAGTCGTCTAAGATCCCTGCATGAGCAAACTAAATCAGTGGGTAGTTGGTGGGTGCTTTGATGTGGTTTGCCCCTTCTTCTACCGTCCTTATCTCTCCTTTTTTTGTGTATGTTACTCTCTTCTAGTAACAACTCTTATCATTAGCACTTACATAATCTATGTGTTGCAAGAGCCGTAAAACTGTACTAAACCAAATTGGCACTGTAGCTATAGGTTGAGACCTCTTTAAGGGCAACATTTTTCTGTTTTTTCTCGCTAGCGTTTTCAATCTATGCTCAAGTTAGGCACATATCTAGGATGTAGGCTTGAGATTGCCTCTGGAGTACTAGCCCATTTCTTAGATTTAGTTGCCCTCACTTTGTGCAACACCTGTGACAGTCTGAGAGCAACATTCAAGAGTTGACAAGACATGCTGACAGACCAGACACTGCTCCCTGATCACCCATCAATTAAATGGAGGCAGTTGCCTTCGTGTCACGCAGTGGATTTTTAGAAAAAAATTTTCATCTCAGTTCATGCAATGCCCACATCTATGGTGAAATAGGCTATTTTTGCTTTTCACACAGTGTGAGTTTGATTGATTCCCATGTGGGGAAGGCATTTTAAAATGTACAGTAGCTCAATGTTTCTGCTTGGAGTATCCCACACAACCTGAGTTGGCCCTTTTAAAGTATCCAGTCTTCTTAAATTGTTTTAATTATTGGTGTCAATGAGGGTGCAAAAATATTTACAATCAGTTAACACAATGTCTCATGACTTTCAGTTTTGGACATTAACTGATACACCTCCATGATAAATGGTCAAAAATTTTAAGAAATATTTCTGAAGCATTGAGCAATGTGAAATTTACAGTTTTGTTATATAAATATCCATAACAACATACTGGTCATTTAACGTTTTTGGGTAAAAAGTACGGTATAACAAAAAATTACAGTAGAACACGGATATGTCGAACACAGAGTACTCGACACCACACATCCGCCAAACTGCCTGTGGTCCCATTTTTTCTTCTTTTGTAGGATATCCCTCGAACTTCGGATCCCTCAAACTACCGAGGCCGGTCCTGACGAATTCGAGCTATCCGTATTATACTTATGATGAAAAGGCGCCTTCAAACTATCCACAAACTAAAATAAACACAACTTTCTGCTCCTTGCAAGTTCTCAAATAGACTACAGTACTTAATATATTTAAATTGAGCGACACAGGTTTTCTATAATAATTTTACTATTGGTGCATTCACTTTACTACAGCTAATACTATAGTAATTATCATTTTGCTCCTCTGTGCAACATTTTCAGAAAGTCACAATGCACTAGATATTCAAAATTCAAATAAAAGATTTTTAAAAAATATAATCTCAAAAACACATTGTACACATTATTTAGTTAGTGCGACGAAATGTAAAATGCATCGCAAGCTATCCTTAATTTTTGTAGCACTTTTGAAGCTGATGAGGGAACAGTATAAAGAGGATTTTGTTTTAGTAAGAGTTTTACGGCGCTCGCAACTGCATAAGGTCATATGAGCACGCGAAAAAAAGGTTGGTCATGTGTGCAACAGTATACTGCATCGGGCGATTCTGGTCAACACCTCTATTAAAAAGTTAAAATACTAAAAATTTGATGTAAATATATGAACTAATTTAAAACAACTTTCTAAATAACAATAAAAGTTTCAAACAATTCCATTAAAGGCCAATGGCCTTTATAAAATCCAGAATTCTGTTGGGATCAAAATTTGCATTTAAAATATTTCCTTCGGGTCTCTCTGAAGTCTAGACATTCTGTTAAAATATATGTCAAATGGCTAATGGTAAAATCTGTGTCGCATCCGACACAGAACGGCTTCTCATCTCTCTGAAGGAGGTATTTATGTGTCAGGGCCGTATGTCCGATGCATAATTGAGTTTAAAAAATGACTTCGTCTCTTCTGGAGAGGCCTGAAGGATTTCGCGGTCCCAGTTTGGGCTTAATGTTGTGAAGTTTGTTGTTTACTTGCTTTTTCTAATGAGTCTCCCACAGACTGGAGGTGTAGTTTTTTTACTTTATTTTTGAAGTCAGTCTGTGGGAAAGTTTTCGTCGTTGATCCCAACAGATTGGACAAGGATTCTTTCACCAGGAGGTCCACTTGCTCGTTTCCTCGAATGCCCACATGGCGAGGTAGCCCTGCGAACATGATATTTTTCCCGGTTTCAGCCAAAGCGTGTATTTTTTGTTGTAACCTAACTATTTTGGGGTGTAAGAGTGTATAGTTTGTAAGTGAGATGTTGCAAGACAGAGAGTCAGATAGGATAAGGAAAGATTTGTTAGGTGAATTTTCTACGGGGTCCAGTGCCATGTCAATGGCAGTGGCCTCCGCAGAGAAAATGGTAGCTTTGGGAAGGAGTCTCCTCTGGTGTGTACTGTTTGAAGATAGGGCAGCGGCGCCCACAGCAGAGTCCGATTTAGAGTTAGAGCCATCGGTGAAGATTAGCTCCGCACCGGGGTATTTTTCTATAAGTTTTTTGTATCCTGCTTTAAATGTTTTGGTGTTTGAGCTTGCTTTGGTGTGTGTTTAGTTTAGTATGGGGTTTTACAGCGCTCGTAACTGCATAAGGTCATATGAGTGCGCGAAATAAGTTGTTTTTTTCCTCAACACTACTCGGCCTGATTCTGGTCAATATAAATTCTAATTAAAATTGTTAAAATGCTAAAAATTGAGTGTAACATAGATTTTAAATTAAAAACAACTTTCTAAATAACACTTGCAAATTTCAAACGATCCATTTTATAATTTCCCATAAAGGCCAATGGCCTTCATAAAATTCAAAATTCTGTTGGGAACAACGACAGAAAACATCTTGCAATTTTTTGCATTTACAATATTTTCTTCGGGTCTCTCCCAAGTCTAGACATTCGGTTAAAATGTGTCTAATGGTAAAATCTGTGTTGCATCCGACACAGAACGGCTTCACATTTCCCTGAAGGAGGTATTTGTGTATTAGGGCTGTGTGTCCGATGCGTAATCGAGTAAAAATGACTTCTTCTCTTCTGGAGAGGCCCGAAGAGTCTTTGTCGTTGATCCCAACGGAAGGGATAAGGATTTCTTCGCCAGGTGATCTACCTGCTCGTTTCCTCGGATGCTCACATGGCTAGGTATCCATGCGAACATGATACTTTTCCCGGTTTCAGTCAAGGCGTGTATTTTTTGTTGTAGCCTAACTATTTTTGGGTGTTGGAGCATGTAGTTTGCAAGTAAGGTGATGTAAGACAGAGTCAGAAAGGGTAAGGAAAGATTTGTTAGAATTTTCTACGGAGTCCAGTGCCATGTCATTGGCAGGGCCTCCGCAGAGAAAATGGAGGCTTCAGGATGGAGTCTCCTCTGGTGTACTGTTTGAAGATAGGGCTGCGGCGCCCACACCAGAGTCAGATTTGGAGCCGTCCGTGAAGATGAGCTCCGCACTGGGGTATTTTTCCTATAAGTTTTTTGTATTGTTTTAAATGTTTTGGTGTTTGTGCTTACTTTGTTGTGTGTGGTCAGCTGTAAGTCTACTTTTGCCTTGGTGAGGTGCCACGGGGGGAGGTCGGGGAGAAAAAATTGCTGGATGTCTTGTTTGGAAAAGTCTATCGATTGAATTTGAGGTCCTCAAGGACTCTGAGGCCGAAGGGTTTGATGAGTTTTTCGTTGTTTTGGAATTTGTTTATGGTGTCTGAGTTTGTTCCACAAATACAGTCGTGTGCTGGGTTCTCTGGTGTTGAGCTCTGTTTAATTGCGTATTGTAGTGAGAGTTGTGTGCGTCTGAGTGTGAGTGATGGTATGTTTGCCTCCGCCTGGAGGCTCTCCACTGGAGAAGTGTGGAAAGCCCCCAGGGCGAGGCGGAGTCCTTGGTTTTGTACTGGGTCTAGCATTTTCAGGAAGTGGGGTTTTGCCAATCCATAGACCTGATAGCCCAAAGAGGACTGAAGCTGTAAGTTCAACAGAATGGAGTCCACCAACCACCCGAAAAGGGACATAAAAGTTTTTAAAAAAACAAATAGTCAAACCTTCGTAAAAACGGCCACCCATTGTCATGGAGAAAAGAGGCCGTATAACACAGGTGGCCGTCATAGGCAGGCCTGATCAAAATGATGAAAGCAAACCATTCCTTTCTAAAGTCCAAAACTGGGGCTGATCTCAGGCTTTGGACTGTTGTACGTCCAATTCAAAAGCGTTTTGTTCTTTTTCAAAGAGGGTGGTAGGTGGTGTAAGAAGGGGATTTTGTGTTGTTCGTCTTTTTTGGTTAGATTTTTTGTTGTTGATTTTGTTGCTAGGGTAAAATAAACGAAGTATTACATAAGTAAGGCGATGAAGACAGAGTGTCGAGGTAAAAAACCCAGTACCAGTCACCTCACACACGATTTGAGCACGAGTTGTGGGCGGGGCTTATAGATCATGGCGGATCACTTCTCTCCCCAGCAGTTGAAAATTTATGGTTAGACCTACCCATTGGTCAACTTGGGTAAACAATCATTGGAGGGACTAACAATAATGACAAGTGAATGAATTTTGGCGGCCTGTCCACAGCGCCAGGGGCCAATTCAAAATTTTTGACAAAGCGTCAGGCGATGAGTGACCATGCCTGGCCGCCTCAGGCAGGTAAACTTGACTGTTGGTTGATAAAATAAGGTGGCCGCGTTGGAAAGGTGACCAGTGGCTGTATTATACAGGTGGCCATCATGGCAGGTTTGATTGTAGTAAACAAAAACCTAAAAAATTAATCCTGGTCCATCATAAGATGTATCAAATGTTCCTATAACAATCACTTAATATTACAGTAAACCTCTTGCAGTCTCATATACACAACAAAACGCACGTGAATCTGATAAAAGACAATGAACTTTGGGTACAGAATAAAATGTTTATTGATGTAAAGGGTCAAATGTGTAGAAATGTATAAGCAAACATGCATAACTTGGTCATCACACAATATACCAGCATTCAAACTCCAACATTGAGCATGTTCTTGCATTCAAACTCCAACATTGAGCATGTTCTAAGAATAAGCCGGTCACTTTATCTGTCCCCGTGGTTTTATGCACCCTGCATAATTTAGCAAAATTTGATAATTTTTTTCATAATTTCTGATTTTTTTCCTCTACTTTATCATTCTTTATTAAAATTAACAGAATCACATAATTTCACATTTTTGGGCTCAGTTTGCATAATTTCAGAATTTTTCTTGCATAAAACGACGGGGACAGCTTTATGAAAAAAGACATCGTGTTTCAAAGTGTACAACAGGATGTATAAAGAATTCATGTGATTTTCTTGACACACATACGTGTGCAGATAATCTAACTACTGTAGACTAGTGCTCTTCCATGTGTTCAGGCACATGCTACATTCCAGAAGGCCAACTGTATTACTGTACAGTCTACTACAAATGAGTTGACGTTGAAGGGGAGTGAAAAAAGATCAACTTGGTCTTTTGTTCAACTTAATGTTGGGGAAACAAAATCAATGCAAAAAAAAAAAATCTTTTCCCTTGCTTATTTAATATTAAACAAGTACTCTGAATTGACTCTCTTGATCAAAAGAACGACACATTTTCGTCCAACTATCTTGCAGAAACAGATCAAAATTGACTTTCTCTTTCAGTCCAACTATAGAGTATTAACTTTATTAATCAGCATGCAAACATGATGATGCATTTTGGGCTAATCTCACTGCTTTGACCCACCACAGAGCAAACTATAATCAAGGAAGACTTTCCTGACTCTTATTATGTTAAGTTGTATAAAAGTGACATTACTTGAACATTTTGCTTCAATTGAACTTATCAACTGTGATTCGGCAGTGCGTTTGAAGCTGTGAGGCTTCCGATTGAAACCCACAATATTCCATGGGCAAACCTAAAGTCATGTCTTGTGGACTCATGAGCTGTGATCAGAGGTTCAAATTCGGTATTTGAGACACATCTGAGAGAAGTGACCCCTCATTTGTTGGAAATGTATGGTGATTCCAGTCACCATGTGCACAATGCGTGCAAGAAATTCTGCGAGCCATCTGAATATTGGGTAGAGCGGCTTTTTAATGATCTGTACACAGATTTCAAATGAGGTTCAAAGACGTGAGTTCAGGTGCGTCATCTTGGACATAAATCGAGTTGACCCAGTGAATGACAAGGTCCTCAAAAGGTTCAAAGACGTGACGGAGGATCCTGAAATGGACAAGGAGTCTTCCAGACTTGGAGAACCTGGAGGAAGAGGTCAGGGGGTGGGCCCTGCCAAAGGACAACATGACATGTTTACATACACAGTGATATGGGAGAAACAGAAAGGTCACTGTTTACTTCTTCACTTTCTTTCATTATTAAAGTGAGCTGGGCTTTAATGAAGGGTGTTTTTTTCTTCCTTTTTAAATGACCCTTTGTGCTGAGAGTCAGCTAAATGATGCCTTCTTGAAAATAACTTTTAAACTGACCAGAGAGCAAGTGTGCCGGTCCAAAGCCCATCCCTTCAAGATTAACCCTTTCCTATCTATGGGATGAAGCCACTGCAATTATTTAGAGTAACAGGAGATGTTTTATGCTACCTTCAACACAATTCAGGTCATTCAGGAAGGGAAGGGTTTGACACAGCCTGTGAGTCATCCCGGGCTGAGAGATATGCAACATCACAGAGGCCAGACGGAGTTGCTCGACAGAAAAACTTCCCCTCCTGGGAATTGATTTCCCGCATCATGCGTGCAAAGGCAAAGTGTTTAAAAGCAACAGCACAGGCACGGGTGGTGGCAACTGTTCCAGCTGTGGCCATCACTCTCACCAGCGCCTGCTGAGAGCGTGCCAGTGAGGTAGAGAAAGTTTCCTGGCTTGAATATACAGCAGACCTGCCACTCTATGAAATCTAAAAATCAGGATTTTTGAGTAAAAAAATCAGGATCTGGTGAAAAAAAATCGGGATCAACCACAAATCAGTCATAAGGGACACTGGGGAAAGGGGGGAGTCTCCTGGGTCCCTTTTATGAGGCAAGTATACAAAACAAAACTTTTGCAGGAATAAGTTCACATTTGGGCCTCTAAAAAGAGAGAAAACTGAAAGACAGCAAATATATGTACTCGAGTCGAAGTTGGATAGACTGGGGGAGCACAGGTTGCAACAATGCTGAAACTCTCGTAGTCTTGAAAATAGCTGGCACATAACTCTAATCATCCACGCAAAAAGCCCGCCTTTTCATACAGTAACAACGTTTGACTTCCATCGCATATACAATCAAGGCACCCCTCCCCCCCCCCCAAAAAAAAATCGCGCTAAGGTTGTTCATTTAAAAAAAATAAATTATTCTTTACCCCTTAGTTAGTGTCTGTATCACGGCACGCGCAATAAGCCCAAGTGAAAAAAAATACATCCCCCCTCCCCCGATCGTCCACACTGGTTAAGTCCCGAAAAACACCTCGACCGGTGTGAATGAACTTTGTTGTCCTCGACAACCAACGGTCCCCGACACACGCACTACTCACACAAACGAGGTCAGCTAGGTCACGTGATGCGAATGAGCGTTTGAAAGTTTCACTGACAGGTCTTGATGATGGGCCCGACTAACCAGCACTCAGACCGAGCTTGCTTTTAAAGCAATGGCAGAACAACGAACATATTATTCTCAGGCTAAGTCATAATTGTTACAGTAATCAGGACACCATCGAAGAATTCCGGGTTATAAAAGCGAAAGTAGATCTTGAGCGTGTCCAAGTCTGAATTCAAAATCGATACTACGCCGAGTTTAGTTGAAATAACGTGCGTGAGTCGTTTACTAGATTCGGCATAGATGCTTTAGAAAAGAGCGTTCCAAGTTCCTGTTGATAAAAAGTTCAATCGGTGCTTCCATGCAAAAGAAATTGCAGAACTTTCTACATTTTTTTATCAGAATCGGATGCAACAGATGCAACGACAAAAAAATCAAAATACTGGCGATCGAAATCGGGAAAATCGGGATCCTTGAGATTTGGGGCAAAAAATCGGGATATCCCGATTAAATCGGGATGAGTGGCAGGTCTGTATACAGATGTCCTACATTCTGGACAAGACGTGCTGGGCCCACCAGCTTTCCACATTCTGTCAACTGTCCCACCCACAAGCTCACACTGCTCTCACCTCTTTTCTTCTCTACAAGAACTTGACCAAACACCAAACACGATAACAGCATCCAACAAAACTTGGACAAATGCGGGAAAAAACACCTGGCTCTATAAATTTATATTTGCAAAAACTGTTGGAAATGTTCTTACTTCATTCAATCGAGAGTGTTCTAAATTTTACATCTCATTAATTGGAATCGCCCCAAACTCTTGTTACAACATTTTCGTCAATATCTGTAGGTAGCGTAAACACGGCCTCGCGGGCACTCCCGACCGCGTGGTATCGGTAAAATCGGGTTAATTCCGATCGCTGTTTCTTTGCTCTTTCGCTATAAAACACCAAATGCCGTACACCTTGTAAAAGTTCAGCTTCTCCTCGTTACAATGGTGTAAGTTGTTTATATGTCCGATTATTAGGAGCTGGAGAACCGCCGGCGAAAGCGAAGCCCCTCGCGGTCAGAATGCGAGGTCGGCCGGTTGAAAAATTGACACGCGTGCATTCAAATGCTTCGCGGAACGAGGGATGATTAAATACCGTCTTTTCATTGGCGGAGAACTGTAGAGCTTTAAACGGGCTTTCCCGTGATATAAGTTTAGCCTTTGGCGTCTTTATAGAAAGCTTTTAAAAATACCGTCCAAATGTTTAAAGATCACTTTTTACACAAAATATGTAAAATACCGGCATATAAAAAGTATTAATTAAAAGATCAGTTCATTTTCTATTAGAATAAAGTAATTAAATTGGAATTATCTTACATCAATCCTTCCGCGAGACTCAGAAAGCATGTGACCCCGCACGCGGGGTACACTACAGTATAGAGCCGACTCGCTCGCCGCGGGGGCCGGTGCAACGCCGGCCGGGTCAACGCTCGGCGTTTTTGTCGAAATAACGACAGATCATCGTGTTTGAGGTGATAAAGAACTGATTTGTAAAGATCTCACAGTCTTGAAAAAAAATTATGTTCCATATCTTTGTTATAGTGATTGTACTCTGTTAATGTGGAGATGTTTAGTGCACTTGTTACTTTTTTATTGTCTGTCAAACATGGGGTTGCAGCCAGTGACTGACTTTAACAAATTTGATCAAATTTTAAACAACTACAATTTTCTTAAAAATTGACGGAGAGGTTAAAGAATGGTACCAGAATGCTCAGTGGATATAGGCCTTTCAAATGGGTAAGATAAATTTGGCATACAGCTAGTTTGAAAATTTAGTTTCTGGTACCTAATATCTGATCCATCTGATTTGTCATTTGCTTGTTCTTGCTCAAATCCATTGTTATTTTCTTTTTCAAATTCAATTGTGATGCTTTTCAACAAGTCGAGACATCTTCGATCAGCTCTAATACTAAACAAAAACTACTGGTCCAAAAAGTGTTTCTGTATCAAACGGAAAAATAAACATTTTTCAATAACTATGTAAAACTATAAATCTCAGCCCCAGAGTCCCTTGATGAGACTTCATTTCTAAAGACATCTTGTTGGAACGGAGCGATTCCAGGCAAGTCAGGGTGGAGCGTGCATGGAAATTCTCTGGCGATCCCCGGCGAGTTAGGGTGTAATGTGTTAAATAACTTTACAGTTACTTATTACAGTATTGAGGGAAGCATTGAACCCATCCCATATGGAACAGTTTTTCTTTGCTCTCTTTGCCTACTAAGCTATTCTTTCTTTAGGTTCCTTGTACTTCATTCCGATGTAGTCGAAAATATCTTCCTCACTCTCCACTGGCAAAGGTTCTCCAGGCACTCCTGGAAAATAAAAAGCAGAAAAAAATAATTCAATATATGTATTACTTGCAAAAATCATCTTTCTTAGTCCACTCTAAATTCTAATAAACCACAAGTTACTACAGGTGATTAAAAAAAGAAACAGCAGCAGTAAGGAAAAACCCGAGACTTACAGAGTTTTAAAAATTCTCCTCCTTACTGCCAGCAATTTGTCATTACTTGTAATAGTTTACAGCTAAAGTAACCCGTTATACACAAAAATTCCTGAGCTGCGCAGGGGGCGTGATTTTATTCTGAATCTAGATCCGTTTGCTGGAATGCTTTTTCTCAAAGGCATGAATATGCTCTGAAAACCTACACTAATTCAGTGAGGATTCAAAACACCTGCAATCTTTAAAATCACTTGCTTGATCCTAAAGGTAGCCCTAGAGAGCACCCACTTTCCCCTATACATGGCTGATTTTCCAACAACGCAGAGTCCCTTGCCTTTTAAGCAACCACAGACTGTTTTCAGGGCTGTGATTAGTCTGTCCTCAGAGAAATTTGCATTTGAAAATAGCAAAAGTTGCAAAAAGTCGCAAGAAAAATTAGCAAAAGTTGCAAGA